CTATCTATCTATCTATCTATCTATCTATCTATCTATCTATGTATAAAGAAATATTCAATCATATTATTAAGGAGGGTGCTGGACAGCAAACGATAAGGCTCGAAAGGTATTTCTTCAGCTCCGTACTACTCTCTGGTGCCGAACCGATATTGGTTCCTATACCCAGCTCAGGGTGACTAACACAATAATTCACGCGGATGTACTGTACGTCTATGAAATTCGGTCATTGAGATCAGATGACTTCAAGCGATTTCAGATCTTGTGCCTCGTCCCGGTACCAATACAATGCCCAGTCTCGTACCACCGAAGCGGAGTGGGAATACGGGGTAACCTGACTGGAAATTGTATTCGAAGCAAACTGTATTGGCCTTCGGATGGTGTTCCATACTCGTTGATCAAAAGCGGACTGACTCGACATACCTATAGTCCATGCTGTTAACCACCAGATGTGAGCAGTAGTGATCAAACACATTCGTGAAATTGGTTTATCCTCTCCAATTAAGTAACCGTAGTAAAGCAAAATAAAGTAAGCATTTACACTATTCTTCGAGGACCAGCATTCCTGACTAGGCGGGAAAGCTTGTGACTGCTACCTATCATCATAGTATTTTGACTGCTCTGAAGTTTTGCAAACCAACAGTTCTCGCAACCTTCCCCTAACCTCTTTATTAGCGGTAAACGGATTTTCGGGATATCACATTTTGTATCTTGAGTAACATCCTCACGAGCACTCGGCAAAGAAGCAATTAGAGTGAAAGTCTTTCGTTTACGTTTTGACCGTTTGCTGGAGACCATTTATTTTGGCACAAGTTTGATTAACTTCAAATATCCTTTAAGTTCCTCTACGAGCAGTTTAATTGGGAGGCAATATAAGATCTCTCGAATGCCGGTTGTTAGGTGTTGCCTACACTTGACTGTGGACGTCCGTGTCTGGCGATTGTGGTGCTGTTATTCATCAAAAGCAGATAAAATCTGGCCCATACCAGGATGTGACGCGTGTCCATAGTTTTAGACATACCGGAGTCGCGGTTTTGAGTACACATTTATATATACTTATCACCGGCTTTCGAGCAAGCTTGGTGCCAACACAACAAGAAGATCAGAACAGAGGGGTTGGGATATATAGCAGAGCGAAAAGGGATCAGAAAGTTCGGTTGAATGACAAGAATACCAATTTTGTTTGTTTGTTTCGCCGTGCAGTCAGAAGCAGATAGCAATGTGGTCTATTTCAGTGTCCTGTTGAGGCCAGTGGGATGGTTTTCATGGAAGGCCTTGCTGCTTTGTGGATGAAAAGTTGGTGTTCAGTCGGAAGGAATCGTCATCTGCGTAGATGATCTCCAGCGTCCCCTCAAGCACCTTTTTGATTCCTTTATGGATCCAACTTGAACATTAAATTCCCCAGTGAAAACCACAAAGTCCGCTGAGCGAAAACATTGCAGTTGACGAAAGACGTCATTGTTAAAGTAATCTGCCATTTCAGGTGAACCGCAATCAGTTGAAGCATACATGAAGGCGGCCATGAGGCACTGACTCTTCGTTATATTCCTGTGGACCGACAATGAGCCATTGTACAGCGTATTGTTGACTACTGACTGAGGTTCAGTCAACAAACAAGCACTGAGCACAATCCTGTTTAAGGAACCACCCTGAGCCCCAGACGCCAACTTACCTGACGCACTAAAGCGCAGCATCAATCTGAAGGTGCAAAGCGCATGCCAAATGGAACGATAGAACATCCTACATACATTCGAACATACAAGCGATCTCGGCAGGTACTCTAAATCACAGTTTTTCCCCAGCTACCCATTCAATGATAACATTTTGGAGACCACTTAATGTATTCTCCAGTATTTTATTCATGACGCAGTTGAAAAGAAACGGTGAAATAGGGTACCCTTGACAAACACCGTTCCTAGTTACGAACCACCAATGAGGATGAGGTTGAACATGAAGGGAAGTGGTGTCCGGTATGCTTATTTTGGATACAGCGTAATTATGTACTGAAGGTTCCAAAGGCTTGAGCCGAAATAAATAAATAAAAAATGATAAATTCAGTATCTTGGCGTATTTAGCCAGCCTAATCGCATCGTTCTATCGTATTTTCCTTTACGCAAAACTCAACATAACCAACTTGAGCGCTGTTTGGACCGGCGATTTAGGCTCGCTCAGTCATGCGAGATACACGTGAAACACGAATTCACGGTCCATACAGTTAGCAAATTCCAATACAGATGGTGTGACACATTTCTAAGTCAGATGGGATGCAATGAGTCTGAAAATTATTGCTGTCACATTTTCTTCGCAAATTAGTCATGGTCGTGAAATCGCAAGTATGGAAACATTTTTCCGGCTAACCTCTTGTTTTTCAGCTGATATTTACCACAATCGAGTAAAATAATGAAACTGATTGAAGTAGTGATAAATGAATGCACTGTTCTTTAATCCACTTTTAACTCTTCGAAGTACAGAATTTAAACATCAGCTAGCGGTTGTTTTTACCGTAAAATACTACTTCATATGTTAATGACTGGAGTGACCCCTCTAGGAGCGAAAGTACATTTTAAAGGAAATGCCAGTTAGTGCGCAGTAGTGGGACTTAGCTCCAGATGGCCTCCATCTATTGAACCCATAGGCATGTTTGGTTGTGAAAGCTCATTGAGTTAGTGCGGCTCAGAAGTATCGTATCACAACTAGGTGCAGTCCCGTAGAAATATGTGAGATGAAATTCACCAAAAGGCTTGAAAGTATATTCATAAAAACATAAAATATAATGATATTTTTGTCCTCTACATTTTTCTCGAAATGTCTCTGCGAGCTCACAGATACATGGGTCAGTGTATACCGTTCCTGTGTGAATACCACCTCTCAGAAGTTAAGGGATTGACAACACACTGATGCACTTGATCTTCAAAATTATTTGGTGGATAATCGGATAACCTTTTCTTCCATGTTGGGATTCATAAGTATTGTGTGTACGCTAATCAGGTCTCTTCCAAATTCGTCACGGAAGGCTTCGAGCTAGGAGCCGATGCAGACTCTATTATCCGTCAACTCACATTAATATAGTGCGTAAACATGTATCCCTGCGCTCAAGGTGTTTTCTATCGTCTTTGCCGTCCAGAATTACGAATTTTAACTCCCAAATTCTGTAACCCTATGAATATCAAACGTTGATAGTCATCCCGCGGGTCTTTTAACCGCCGGAGGGGAAGGAGTTTTAAAGGGAACAAAACTAATACTCATAAATGGTGAGTTACAAAAAGGACAACGCAACTATTCACTCCTCTTTATCTATCATCAAACTAAATTGTTATAGCGAATAACGACTTTTAAATGAACCGGTTGTGAACTGAACACCTTCATTTCCTTTACCAGATTTCTTCTTGCGGCACGTATCAACGACATCGTATGTCACAGGAAAGATCCGGCATCAAATATTCCGATTTATTCAAAGTGCCATACTCTCGGGCTCCAAAAAAATGGAAGTCGATCAACATGTTACTCGAGGATTGGGGACGAGAAGATATTGGTACACGTGAGCCGTGCAAATCACCCACGCCTCGGGATACAACACTCTCACAGACCGATTTGAATGGAACTGACAAAAAATCAATCATATATGTGGATTTGGAAGCGCATACTGGAAGTAACAAACTTCTGGGTATGTGCTCGCAAATGAAATGTGATGCCTGACTGTTGTGCTAGACCGAACAGTCACCTTTTCACATAATAGCATTCAATTTTTTTCTGGTAAATGACTTCTATTAAAATATGTTAAATGAAACAATTTACTTTTACTTGAAAATTTATTTCTCTATAATTACATCACGACATAGCCAAGTAGACTACATTTTAGACAATGTTTAGTCTTGAATTGTATTGCTCTGGTTCTAGTTTTTTGCCTTTGGTACATAACAAGAGAAATGGAAATACCAGCAGAAGAAAAGTCAGTAGGGTGATTTCATAATTGTGGAAATAAAGTAGAAGATATCAGTAAAAATAAGCACTAATGGTGCGACGAGTGAAAACGTATCGCTGAACTGGTATATTGTCTATTCTGTATGGGTGCGATTCTCCTCTTTAACTAAACTCTTTCCAGCTGAGGCGTAAAACAGTGGCCGATTTTGATAGATTGCTTGGCAGGCAGACTAAGTCGTGTTAAGAGGGGTCAAGGCTAAGAAGCATCAGGTTGAATGACGTACAGTACGCCAAAATAGCTAATTATTACTGAACGGATTCAATCCACTGTTTGATCAAACGGATATAAAGGGAATCTACCCGGGTTACACTCACATGTTGTATAATCCTCAATGAGCACTCGTAGAGATACCGACAAACCTTCACTGGTCAACAGCTGATGATATGGACTATGTGTTGCTACGATCCAGATTCTACCCATACCTGATAAATAACCACAGCCAAATTGCCGGAAATGTATTCCCACAGTAGGAGGTAAGTGACAGCCACGACTCGACCTTAGAAGCGGTGGATTTCGTGCGTTTCGCTTCATTTCAACCACCCACCGAAGGATGGAATAAATACCGGGAGCTAATTAATGAAGCTATCCAAATGTCAATGAAAACAACGATGGTAAATGATGTACACATTAATGTTGAATCTTCTAGACCTCTGCTGCGTTGTTAGACGCTCTTAAAACCATTCCTAATGATGACAAATGTGACAAAGATGCAAGTGCCTAAAACGTAAGCTCACACAGAGCCCAAGAAGCGACCGCGGTAAATGATGGGTAGCGAAATGTAAAGAGGTGAAAGAGGTTGTGAATATGGAGAACAGTTACAACAATTCCCCTTTAATCAGGCACCCGGCCCACAGATTGTAAGCTTTAGTGAACTAATTTAGGAATCGGATGGTTCACTGATTCACATTCAACAATACCCTATTGAACCCTGGAAGAACATTTTAGGCACAAATCAACTGGCCACCACCGATATTAAATTCGAAAGCTCGTGCTTCGACTGCCGGTTGATATCCGTCCTCCTTCCGAAATGGAGGCCTAATGAGAGATTACACAACGCAAAAGCAGCAACAATTTCTGGTGCAGATGCGTTATCCCCATTGGTCATCAAAGGAGAAGGTTCATGCTTGGTTTCAGATTTACCGAAGATAATGCATTCTGAATGGCAAGTGATGATATTTCAGCTGAATGGTTCGAATCGGTCAACCTAGCAATTTTCATGATAATCAGTAGATTCAACTGTGAAAGCCACGGAGAAATTGGTTTCATCAACATTGTCTTTAAGCTTCTCGCGATCATCATACTCCGTCAATTGTCCGCTGCATAAGAATTGTATGTGCGAGAACTGGGATGGTTCATATACCTAGTCAAGATTGCATCTACCATGTTTTCACTCTTCGCTAAATGCTAGAACACAGAAATTTCCTCTCTAAATTTACAATTTCAATTTGTCTTGATCCAAACGCTGCCTTTGATTAAATAGACCCCAACGTACACTGGCGCTGCCTCGTCTTAAAGGATTTATCGGAGGAGTTTATATATATATATATATATATATATATTTCACACTTGTCTGAAGACAGACTGTGTGCCAAACAAATCATGGTACAATAATCTTTATGAAAAGAAGGAGGAGTTTACTTCAGTATTAAAACCCGTTGTACTAATAGCCAAAGACAAATTTGTAACAGATACTCTTCTTGAAAAGCTCTGTTCTCGTCTGTGAACGGTTTCATCGATATTGCTTCTATGGGCATTGTAATGCTAAATAAAGAACCTGGTAAGTTGCCAGTTTTTGGATGGTTTGAGCGTTAGTATAGCCATGTTCGTTATGCCTTTTGCATCGTGAAAATGTAAAATAGTGATGCATGACTGGGGGTCCAGATTTAAATACCACTGTAACTGGGGAATCAGGAGAAAAAGTGCACAAATTCCGCTGTTAAGGTACTTGCATCTGGAGGCCCACTCTCGGGTGACGTTCAGTTGGTCATACGGAAAGTGTTTCTAATTTGAGATACCTCTGATGCCGTCGTGATACCCGATTTTCTGTGAAAGATCAAGTGTATGCTGCAACTTTTTGGTTGGTACTGCAGAGACCTAGCCATTACGAAAACAGGATAAGGATAGATGGAGATAGATAAAGATTGATAGTCCGTGTTCGAAAATCATTGTCTACATCGTAGTGCAAGCCTCTGGTAGGACAACTGGGAAAGCGATGTCGAAGTTCATCGTGGAGTTTCGGGTAAACACGGTCATTCACTGTAACCAGTCGTAGACTGCATTAGATTACGTTGGCTGAGTATATGTTACACATGTCATCAAATAGACTATCAGTGTGCAATGCTTACCGGTAGGGAGGGACACAACAGCCGGATATATGGATATGAAACCGATGACCAAGAGACCCTCTCATAAAGGTCGCTTTAGGCTTTCTGGTTGGAAACCTCGTAGTCATTCAAAAACAGGCTTAGATACATTAATTTATACTGTTAAGTGTTGTAAGCATTGTATATGCATCTACTGAACGTCTTTGCAACTTTAATGTACCTAAATTCTCTAATTTGACACTGACATTAATTCACGCTTTGTAATCCTCCTCATACTCCATAAAGATGGGTAACCAAAAGACAGTTACCAAAAGCTGTCGCTCAAACTATGCATGGTTTTTTATTGAATAAACTGAAATCGAACTTTTACTTTAAAATGCGCATCTCTAAAACGTTGGTAGATGTTTATTGAAGCCGGTTGATGCTCTTCAAGATGCAAGTCAAGCACAACAAAATCAGTTCATCTGGTTTCCCAATCCATGGATTGATTGAATTTTGTCTAGACAAACGGGAGAGCTTGTCAATTTGTTCAACTACTTATTGTTTTCGTTTATCCTTTTCCTATACCGTTGGGCTAATCAGTGCTCCTTATACAACTATAGCTGGAAGCATCTGTAGCGCAGATCCGAATCAGCCTCGGTTTGTAATTTATGAGCACCACTAATAGGGTTTGATTTTAACTTCCTAGTATAATAAACTTCGCCTCAACATCCTCTTCTAAGTCGTTCCATCAGATGCGTGTAATATACAGAGGGCATATATATGTATTTGGTTATTGTCAGTCTGATACAATTTCACATAATTAAATTCGGTTTAATTTTGCTGTTTACCAATTGGTTAATCCACAGAGGCTTCTGAGTAGATGCATTTCATTGTCACCCAAACATGAACTTCTTTTACCCGCACGAGGACTACCGACCCCCGAGTAAGGACAGTCGAACAGCGAGTCGTGTTCCCATGATATCCGATAGGATCACATCGATGAGGATGCATCCTAAGGATTCCGCAGTTTCACCTATTGGTTCATCGATAGGATCAACCACTTCAAGTGAATCGTTAACCCGTTAAAATATAACATCCTGATAAACCTCCATTTGTAACATCTGTGACCTCTTTGTGCCTGGGCCTGGTCTTTGTTATATCTCATTGATCCTGATAGAGTTTCATGGCTTTTTTTACTCTCAGTAACAGTATTTTTATATTCTATAATCCTCAATCTCTCCATTACCATATCAATACATTAATTTTGAACTTACAATAATCCCATCACCTTCTACCTTTCTCTTTAGGATGTGTTAAACACCTTCACTTGTAACAGCACGCAATAACAGGTCATAATGTACAATCCTGTTTTTCCTTACAAACCGCGAGTTCGGTTATGTGACTGTTAGTAGATTATTCAATGTCTTCCGGTGTGTGAGAAGAGCATTGCTACGATTCGACCTGGTCGAATCCGAGGAGAAGTTTATGATTCACTGGGGTTTCTCGTTCTTTTGTATTATACACTCTTCGTCCAGATGAGGTTAACTTCGTTTGTTGTTTCGTCGCGAGGTGCGAGGAACACGACTGGAAACTCTATGGATGCGAAAGGTGGTTAACCATGGAAAAATCTTTACTTGAACGATGTATTTCACTTGCATCGGACGGATGCAATGGACAATGGCATTCTTAAGGTGTTTGTTTCTGTTAAAGGAGACTATCTAGCTGCACAGAGTTTTATGACTGCATCTGTTTATTGATGAAGATTGCAAGGAATACCTGACCCAGCAGTCGTGAATTTCTGATTTCATTGACGAAAAATATATAGATAATGGGGCTTCGGTTGCATATCGACCATTTTGACATATATACCACAAGTTTCCAGTGTTCTTAGATAAGTGCATCCAGTTAACTATTTTCTTAATGATTTTCGTGGTGCACGTGGAAGCACCTGCTGCAAAAATCCAAGGATATCATCGAAGGGTAAAGTTATAGGCAAGATGTAGAAAAAAATGAGGATTTTAAAAACAAGCTTTATGGGATGGAATGCAAAAGGTGAAATACAAGTGAGGAGAGAACAACACAGATATCGATCGCTGAGTTTTCAACACTTGTCTCGAACCAACGATTTTCATTGACTATTGGGTCTCATCGCAGAAGTCGGATGATTCCGATATGAGATAACTCGTGGGCACGTTTTTCCTCCCTTTCGTTTCATGCCACGAATTCAAGAATTGTGGACCACGTGCCATCTTCCAGCCCACTCTGGAGAAACACGGCTAGGTCGGCTCGGGTTCGGTCATGCTGGATAGTATATTATTATCATTATCTCTAGCATGGCCAGTCGTCAAGCTACAGACTAATTCTACGTGGTAACAGGAAGAAGGTCGTAAACAAGGGTAAGCTCAATA